CACTTCTAAATCAAGGACAGACAATCAACACAATCTCAGAGAATCTTGAGGCTCTGCAAAAATCTGATGCCAGAACTAAGAGGCAACTGACCTCCATCGAGGAAATGTGCAGAGCTCACCAAGATCAAGCTCAACTTCTCCTCTCTGTTGACAGAGACAGGTATCAAAAGATGGTGCTGCTTGAAGCCAACAACGAGGACATCTTCTCTGCCATTCAGAAGCAGCAAGGTCTAATAGAAGGCCTTACTTCTGTCACTCAGACTCTACCAAAGGCCCTTGAGCAGATAGCCTCCTCTCAGGCCTCAGAGTTTCAGAAGATCAGCATGTAGAGAGTTTTGTTTTTTGAAATAAATGTGTAGAGAGATCATTTGCTTTATAAATATAAAAGTTAAATCACTTTAAAAAGAGAGATCATTTCTCCTTTTTTTGCTTCAAAACGGTTGTGATGTAGAGAGTTTTGTTTTTTGAAATAACCGTGTGGTGTAGGGAGTTAATTAATTGTTTTAATTGTTGTGATAATAGAATTTGCTTTATCCAATAGAAAGCTGACACATCATTAGTTTTTAACTCAACTTTACTATATAAAACTATAGATAGTACACTAACATTTACCTTCTTCATCCCAAAAAACTTTGTCATAGTTTATCAAATAATATGAAGCAAAGATGAAGCGATTAAAGCTTTTAAGCATTACAAAGCTGAAGTTGAAATACTTTATGGGGATAATTTGTCTTTGCACCCTACTTATTGGGTGATAGTACACTTTGCATCCTATTTTCAAATGACTTTGACTTCACACCCCATTTTAAAATTGTTTTTCTTCACCCCATATATATTAGATACGTGTTGTTTAAGATAACATATGATGATAGAGGATGATATATATTATACATATAAAGTATGATGAATTACATAAGAGTGGAGTTTTGGAAGCTGAATAGCTTTTCCCTTATTGTTTTGGCACATGTCACTTTTCCTATTAAAGATGTAGGCACATGTCAAGAATTCTTTCAAAGAGTTCTCCAAGGATTTGTTTTGTTATATTATATAGATATGGATGAGTGTTGTGTTTTTCATAAATAAGAAAAATAATGTCTTGATTGAAAAATGTTGTCAATTACAATATTAATATCGTCATATTAATGTCTCATTACGTCAACATGTAGCAGTAATGTTTGAGGAGGGCAACAATGAACTCCTATTTAGAAAAAGAAAAATGATAAAGAAAACGATAGTGATAGAGTAGTGATAGCAATAACGATAAATAATAAGGATAATAATGACATTAACAATATATATATTACCGGGGTATTAAATAACGAAGTAAGTAATGAGATGTGAGTTTTTTATGTACTTCTAACCTATTATATATATATGTGTGTGTGTGATATCGATATATAGGGGAGAGTTCAAATAAAAAGGAGTCTTAACGTGTAAAATGAGAATTAATATGAACTGTCCAAATTTACGATCTGATGCATTAAACATTATCTAATCATCCAAACTCTTAATATGCATTCCCTAACAAATATAACATTCTTAGTATGGTTCTGACTCGAACTTGTGATCTTTTCTTTGAGAATGTCATAGTGGTGTGTTATCACATCACAAAGTATTTGGCGCATATTAACTTTTTAATTAAAGTAATAATTTAAAGTATATTTTATAACTCCAATTAACAAATACTATTACACACAGGGGTAGAGCTAAAGGAGGGCCAATCTAGGCTTCATCCCACCTCAAATTTTAAAAATGTCTTCATTTTTAGTGTTACAAATTCCTCGTAATATTTTTTGTTTTTCTTTTTGTATCAGACCAATCTGATACAGTGTTGTAAGAAATATCTGTATTTAGATTTTGATGATGCTAGATTAATTAGGACTTTAGAGTACCCCTGTGTAGACTTAATGTATTAGATTTTTCATTTGTAAAGTTCTTAGTTTAATCGACTTGGCAGAAAGTCTCCAGAGCAGAAGACCTCCAGAGCAGAAGGGCTCCAAGGGCAGAAGACCCTTCTAAGGCATTGTTGAACAGAGGACCTTTGGTTCTCTGCTTCAGAACAGAAAGACCTCAGGGTCTCTGTTAGCCTTTACTCTGACAGAAACCCTCCTGGTTTCTGTTGGATATACTCTCAACAGAAGTGCTCCAGACCTTCTCTGAACAACTCTCTGTTAAAGACACCAGAAGGCCTGACACATAGAAGAATTCCACCAAGCCGGAAAATCAACTGGAAGATTCCTTCAACGGCTAGGAGACTTGAACGGAAACGTTACAGTACGCACATTAAATGCACATTTAATGCTCCCCATGCTCCGTAGAGTAATGGCAGATGATTGGACACAATGTCAGGATTACTTTATCCCAAAATAGTAACCCGTCAACTTTACCGGGTTCTACTGGTCAAGTCAACTGCTCGCTCATTTAATGCAGTTGTCCTCCTTCTCCTCCAACGGGAAGACAACCTCAGTATAAAAGATACACTACGAAGAACAACCGGGTAACTTTGCAATTTTTGCTAACCTTTGCTACAACTCTGCATACAAGAAATTCAAACGCTTAAAAGCAAAAAGCCTCCTTGAGATTAACACTTCATCATCCTCTACAAGAGAAGGCAGAAGTTGGAAAAATCTTTATTTCCAAACTCAAGCAAAGTTCCAAGTGCTCTTCAACTCTTCAAGCTCATCACATACAAACTCCTTATAACGAAGCAAGTTGGAGGAACCCCTGTTCTGAATAGAACCTCTTCTTTCACAAGAAGGACGTCCAAGTACCTAGAGCTGTGAAGTGGTGATACTTCTGGGAAAACTCAGTGAAAGGACCAGTCTTAGGGAAGCCGGAAGTGCATCCAAGAAGACATCTACACTTGAAGAAGACGTGGAGAGCTTCTTAAGTGATAGGGCTAAGGCATTGTAAACGGAAGTTTTTACAGCTTAGTGGAACAGTGGATTAGAGGAACAAGTTGTTCCTTGAACCACTATAAAAAGCCCTGGTGTCATCTACTTACTGCTTTTCATTCATAGTTTTTATTTGAACTGTTTGACTCCAAAGACTTGGTATCTGTGTTCAGCAGAACTGGTCTTGTGAGTTAACAGAAGGCCTACTGCCTTTGCTTCTCTTAGGCTGTTAACAGAACTCCCTACCAGAACCCCATCCGCTGCCAGTCTGTTCTGCCAACAGAACAGGCTATTCTGTTAAATCTGGTACTTAGCTTGAAAAAGTTAAAAACCGATACAGTCTATTCCCCCTCCCCCCTCTAGACTGTATCCAGTACAAGTGGGACCAACAAGTGTCTTGCCTCTGTCCAACACTCCAACCACCACTGATTACACAAAGATAACTTTGCAAAAACAACTCCATTTTACAAATTACCAGTTAATGTTGATGTTAATCCCGATCATAGTAGTCCTTTCTGGATGTTAGAGGATCAACGGTAAACGATGATCGTCAAGAACTAGTTCATTTTTATCCCGGATATATGTTTTTGAGAGTTTTTTTCCTTCAAAATAATGCTAAATAAAAAAATTAAAATTAAGGCTATGTCAAAACTATTTACCAAAATACTGCTGGAATAAACTCCAGTTAACCAAAGCCGCTGATTGGCTTGGCAACTTTCCCTTAGGCTTACCGCAACTCATTCAATCAATAAACTAAATCTCTCACCACTTTATACATATTCATTCAGTTAATTCATTTTTTTCGTGCAACCCAACACCATCAATATGTTCGCTTAGCAATTTTTTTCTTTATTAAAGCCTTACTTTTATTAGTATACATTATCTTTTTGCGAATTTTATTTTTGCAAATAATTATGATAAAAAAATCAAACATTCAAATGTAAAATTAAATAAATTTGGAGTTCAACCTTTTTTGTAACTTCAGACATATTTTTAGAAAAATACTAAAAGATGTCTAATAAAGAAAAAGTAATCAGTAGGTCTTAATTTTAGCACTCAAAACTATTCTCTAAAAACTTTGGCTCCGAAAAACTCTAGTTGATGAAACTCATACGAGTATTTTTTTATATCTACAATATTGTTAGATAATAAAAAACTACGAATTTAATATAATTTTTATAAAAATTGGAACGATATAAAAAAGTTTATAGCATATTAAAAAAAGTTTCTAATTCTAATGTGTCCTGAAGCCCGCCCCGAAACAGTACCGTTCCGGCCTTCCGGGTGGCCCGAACCAGGCACGGACCCAGGTAGGGGTGGACTCGGGCCGGGCCAACCGGCCCGGAACCGGACCGGCCCGCCACTGTGCGGGCCCGGACCGGCCCGGGAACCGGTTCGTTGGGCGGTTCGGGCCACCCGGCCCGGTGGATTCTCGGTTCGGGCTCGGGCCCTTCAAAAGGTGAACCGGCCCGGCCGGTTCGGGCCCGGGCCGGGCCAATTTTAATTTTTTTTTTAAAATTTTTTTGAGTTTTTGGGTTGGGCTGGTTATTTTGGGCCATTTGAGGTGGTTAGGGTTGGTTTGGGGGTGAGGGGGAGGGGTGGGGGTTAACTAGGAAAAGCCCAAAAAAAAAATATACCCGAGGCCCGGGCCGGTTTCGGGCCTCCCCTTCTTGAACCGAAGCCCGGCCGGGCCCGAACCGGCCCGAGTCCACTCCTAGACCCAGGTACCGAGCCGGGCCGGATGAAATAGTACCAGGCCGGGCCGGTTGACCCGGCCCGAGTCCATCCCTAATATGGGCCATAGAAGTCTTATATATAAAATTTTTGAGACAATCATCCTTACTAATGATGCAATTTTTTTTGGGAGATACTAGTCATACAACTTATGTGAAGAAGAACTCACCGAGATTATTTAAATACTAAGAGCATTTTTACAGATTATTTAAATGGTATTGTTCTCTCAATATCTCGGTGAGTTTTTTTCTTTTCTGTTCTCCAAAAGCCTTGTTTTTTTTTTGGTGATTTTATGGTTCGATGATAGACAACAGCAATTCCGACACTCCACACAATATAATCAGTAGCAAGTATAGAGAAACAAGATCCGAAGAGAGTTTATTGATGTAGACGAAGAAGTACAGAACGTATACAAGCACTGGACGATTCGAGATGCCCAATCTCCAAAGTCCAAGTCCAACCTAATGACAGCCTAGCATTCTTAGACTCCAGACTTCTATTTATAGTATTTCTATTTATAATACAAGCCCACTTATTATTATCTACAATAATAGGCACACTTATTATTATTTCTAATAATAGGCCCATTCCTAACAATACTCTCCCCCTAAACAACCACCTTGTCCTCAAGGTGGGTGATAGGAATCAACCATGATCTCCCACTTGCACTTCATTCTAGCACCTCTTCCTTCCCAATACAACATTGCATTCTGGATCTTTAGCTTCAGTACTTGAAGCTGCATCTTCATGTTCTTCTCTGCAAGTAGTAACAAGGTCCTGGAGGCAGAATGTTCTCTTATGTTGCAAAAGTTTGCATCTTCCAGCATCTGTGTTTCCAGCATTTCAATTGGTTGTATCCGAAGTGAAATATCTGGATGCTGCTGCACACAAGTTGTCTGTGCAACCTTGCCAGTATGAACTTTACTTCCAGATATAACATATTCACTAATTTCTGAGCCAAAAAGATCAAAGGAAGAGCAAAAAGAAATACTGTGAGAGGAAACAAGGTCAACTCTGTCATCAACAACCTTGTTCATATCTGCCACTCGCCATGCCCATTTACTATCATCTGAACTAAGTGAAGGAGTGCGCAAAAAACTGGTCCCAGACATTTCAGAAGGATTCCAGTACATCACCACCCCACCAAATAAGTGTTTATAATCCACCCCAGAACACCCATGGGCCTCAAATTCTTCTTCGGTGACAGGAGAACGGTGCATTCGCTTTTCAACAACAACCTTGTCAGCAACTTTCAGATGCTCAGAATAATAACCTTGATCATAGCTCAAACTAACAAACCCTGCAGAAGATCTAATTTGATTTGGTATTTCAATTTTGTCCTTTTTCTCAGACTTTGATTCATCCTCTTCTATTTTCTCAGTTTCCATGGCAATGGACTGAATCACCACAGAAGTTCTCTCCCCTCGTTCCTCATCACCAATGATGAGTGTATCTTCAGAGTTAGGTTGTAGCTGACTCACCGACTGCTGCGGGAATGAAACTGACTTCACTTGCGGACTGTGAGAAGCAGAAATATGCGATGAAACCTGCGGTGAGTCCTGCGAACTGAGATGAGCGCACTGAGCTCTGTGAACTGAGACCTGTGAACTGGTAGACACTGTTCGCGACTGCGTCAGAGATGAGGTCTGCAAATTAAGCAAAACTGTTCGTGAAGGCGCTGAAGCGGTTTGGGATGACATCTGTGAACGGGAAGCCTCTCTCGATAGAGTTTTACTTGGTCGTGAACCGCTGGCGGATGTTGAAGTCCGTGATTTCGAACTGTGAGAAGAAATCAACTCAGGTTGAAATCTACGAATGATAGATTTCTTCAGTGTGTCCCAGTTAGTTTCTTCAGTCCGGTACTCCCACGAATGAAACCAGTTCAAAGCCCTATCTTCCATAGCAACCCTAGAAGCTTCAACCTTCTCTTCCTCTTCAATGTCATTTAACCGAAAATACCTCTCTATTTGTATAATCCAGTTATAGGCTCCTTCACCGTTAAACAAAGGTAAATCTACCTTTCTTCTCGTCGGAACAGATCTTCTACTGCTATCGCGACCCAAACTAGAGAATCTGGAGCGACACTGATCGGAATTACCTTCTGCCCCTTCCGATTTTCTCCAGGTTTGAAGTTGTTCATTTAACGCCGCCCTGGATGCAGCGATGTTCTTCATCGCGGATTTCATCGCGGATTTCATCTCTAGGTTCGAATGCTTCTCCAGGTTCGAACGCTTCTCCAGATGTCTGTGCGAACCAAAGGCCTCCAGTTCTGTTCGTCTTTGTTCTCTGCTCTGCTCAGCGATCGTTCGTTCGTGTCTTCGCGAATCACCAAGTGTCCTCTTCCGCTACGGAGATGTGACGATCAATGAAGATGCCAGGAGAGTGCTCTGATACCAATGATAGACAACGGCAATTCCGACACTCCACACAATATAATCAGTAGCAAGTATAGAGAAACAAGATCCGAAGAGAGTTTATTGATGTGGACGATTCGAGGTGCCCAATCTCCTAAGTCCAAGTCCAACCTAATGACAGCCTAGCATTATTAGACTCCAGACTTCTATTTATAGTATTTCTATTTATAATACAAGCCCACTTATTATTATCTACAATAATAGGCCCACTTATTATTATTTCTAATAATAGGCCCATTCCTAATGAAGTACCTATTTATTTTTAAATCACATAGTATCCCACTTTAAATTTACTTTCATTTTAAAAAAATCAATTTTAGGCAACCAAGTTACTTGGCATGTAATCCTAGTGATCGAGTCTCGAGTAATTTTAAACAGTTAACTCATAATCTTGTAATGAACCAAAGCCTCAACCAAGTGAGTAACCTATCCGAGTAGACTCACTGAGTACCTGGAGATTGCTCACCGATTAGATAACATGGCAAGCAGCAATTACCAAATGTGTCATATAATGATACATTCTTTACAATACTTCATGTTTAAACAACGGTATAGAAATTATATTTACTACAGCCATGAAAAAACATGTCCATGGTTTATCCAGTCTCTTCAATGGTAACTAATTGTGGTGTAAGCCATGAAACTAGTGAGTAGAGTGATATACCATTAGATTTCAATTTGCATTTGTGGCTGATTGAGTAAGCACCTTGTGCAGCTTTCTGGTTTCTACAGCAACACATTCCCTGTCAAACAAAGCGGAAACAACAGCAACACCTTTCAGGTTTGGCATTCCTAAGGCCATCAAAGCCTCTGCATTTGATATGCCAATGCCGCCAATAGCCACAACTGGCAATCGTGAAGAAAGACAGACACGTTTCAGCCCGTCCAAACCAATTGTCTGATTGTTTTCCTTTGTGTTTGTTGGGTATACACCGCCACAGCCAATGTAATCAGCCCCTTCTATCCATGCCTGATGGGCTTGCTCTGGTGTTTTGCATGATACACCAATAATTTTCTCAGGCCCAAGAAGTTCCCGGGCAGCATACACAGGCATGTCTGTCTGCCCGACATGAACACCATCAGCGCCGCTGGCTAGTGCAATGTCAATCCTGTCATTTATTAATAAAGGTACACCATGGGGGCGACATATATCCAGACAATCTTTTGCTGCTTCCAGGAAGTCAAGTGTTTCAGCATCCTTTTCCCTTGAATGCATGTGGCGTACATACCAATCAACCAAAAACAAAAATTAGGGGTTCAAATAAGCAAAGCTACTCGAATTCATCCAAGGAAAAAATTGATTTGATTCTATTGTTGTCTAGTCAAGCTCAAGAAGCAAGTACCAAATTTTTTAAATCCTAGTACTCTGCTTGGGAAACTTATGAACGTAAGGCTAATTATATACAAAGTGTAACATAATCACAAGCTTGTTATTTCCTCTATCTTATATGTATATTTTTAATAAAATGAATGTTAAGAGTATAAAAACAAAAGTGATAACCACAGGACTTGGCTGTGCTTAAAAGTTAATGTGAGAAAAATATCTGTATGGGAGTAGTTTTCAAGAAATAATTGATTTTGTTATTGATTAAGGGCTTCGTAGGATAAATTTTTTGTTGTTGGATTGCTAAATGTAAATAACTTCTCCATCCCGAATATTATCAAGAATATTATCCCCCTAAATGCTGAAACATATCCTTAGGGGCTGTGGGTTAACAGGACTGACAGGAACCAATTTGGAAAACGGAAAAACAAACATAGATTGATACGAAAGTCTGAAACGGAAAATACAATTGAGACTCTTCGAGAGGCCTCACTCTCCTAGTTCCCAGCCCAATCCCAATTTTCTGCGTACCCTCATTCTACTCGCAGCTTCTATTTATAATCTTTTTCCTTTTGGGCCGGCCCACAACTCACAAGTACCAGGCCTGGACCCCCTTAAACACAATAACACACTATGTAACATTATTCTATTATTCTTACTATTATTTTCTTTAGCCCAGGATCCTCTCAAGGACCCAAATATATATATGAAACAAAAAGGAAAATCTTAGCCAGGCCAAGCTCTAGTGAAGTTTCAACCTTCAGCATACAAGTTTTGAATATAACAGCATGGCTCTGTCAACTGCACTTCTAGCAAAGGTAAGAAAAAAAGGCAAAAAAATATTAAAATGGGTTATAAAATACGCAGCCAACCTCAACTGAATAACAGAAGCACCTCCTTCTATGGCAGCTTTCACTGCATCGGTTATTGAATGCCCCCACTTTTTGTTCATCCTTGAATCTGTAACCGCGTATAAGAGGAGATCACTTGGATCAAAATGGTGCGCCCTAAATGAATTTGGTGCATTACTCTTAAGCTTCAATAGATGATCAAGAGGACCCTGACAACCATTTCCAATGAGTATATCCTTGCTGTAGTTTAAGGCTGTATCAACACTGCGTTTAGCTACCTGCCAAAGGTAAGAATTACAATTTGATTACGTGAAGGACAAACAAAAAACGATGACAAATAAAAATGAAACTCACTCCAATGAAATTAGTGATTAAAGAATTTGATGTAATTATATTAAACGAAATTCATACCCACCCAGCTGGGAGCCTGGGACTTGGGCCAAGAAGAATTTTCCTATGAGCAAATGGAGTAAAAGATAAAAAGAAGATGTGGGGGGCACATGAAATAAGTGATCCAATCAGCAAGTTACTTTAGGTTACAGCTCTACAAGACACTCCTAACCCCACCATGCTACAAAAACTGAAAATGTGTTAAAATGAATTACCTTAATGGCAGAAACCATTGAAGAACCTTTAGATAACTCAGCTGCAATAGAAGAGGCCAATGTGCAACCAGTTCCGTGAGTATTTGCTGATCTTATGCGAGGGGACTGAAACTCATGAAATTCGTTTCCTATCTCAAGTGAAAAGGGGAAAAGATATCTGAGGTTATCGTAAGCCCATACTACACAGTTGAACACATGCCCTTAAGATGTATGTCATACCCACCATCATATAAGATATCAACAGCATCCAGTGAAGTAGGCAGGTCACCTCCTTTCACAAGTACATTCCTGCAAGCAACCTTTTCTCAGATTTACATATTCTTCCATAAAATGACTATTAGTGCACTAAAGAATACAATAGAGAAGTGAACACGGTGATTACCATAACTCATAAGAGAAGCTTTAGCAAACTAGAATCTAACCTTGGGCCAAAGCCATGTATAGCTTTAGCAGCGAATCGCATGTCACTAAGTGTTTCCAAGCGCAGACCACCTAGCAACGCAGATGCTTCCTTCAGATTCGGGGTCACTATATCAGCCATGGGAATAAGGTCCTCCCTATCATGCAGAAACTAAAAGTTACGCTTTTGTGGAGTCAATGTCTTCTAAGGAGAGCACAATCACACACACATATATGTAAACTGCTTAATTTAACATACATGGGAGGTTCCAGGGAGGACTAATTAGAAAATTTTCATTCCACTTACAGAAAGCTGGCTAAAGTTGAGGGGCCAGATAGTGTATGCCCACTAGTAGAGATCATAACAGGATCAACCACCAAAACTGCTGTAACGAATTTGCTGATTCAACTCAAATGCAGATAAAGTTAAACCAAAAAAACAAGATTACTGCATTGAATGAACCTCTAATGGGAAACTCCTTAAGAGACTGACAAAGGGCCTTGACTATGCCAGGCGAAGGAAGCATGCCTGTTTTCACCTAGAGAATTTCCAGGATGATCCATGATTAATAAATTTTGCATACTGCATTCTGAATTTAATGATGGGTAGGGACTAAAGAATACAGAGTAGCATTAATAAATAACATCATGCAAATTTCCATCATTTTCCCGTTATTTCCAATGGAGCCAAAGTCTCACGATTTTTTTGACTTGGAAATATGATGGAATAAAGAAAAATGACTCACTAAACTGTTTGCGCTTCTTTGTTATAAACCAATCAGCCCATGCAATTTTCGACACGATTCTCATCATGAGTCATCCAGAAACAATCTCTACGTGCTTTAGTACAGGGGTAGAGCTTCTTACATTTGACCGCCTTACCCACCGTAGGTGGGAGCCTTTGCGGCACTGGGGTAATGTTGATGTTGTTGTTGATGCAAATTGCCTTCATTTAAAAAATAGCCTCAATTTCTTAATTATGACCAATTAGTACTGAACTGCCTTGTCTAATCCTTACTTCGACTCAATGTTAAATAAAGATGTGCTCAGGAAGCAGAAATGGTATGGGAAGGGAAAATAGCTAAGGAAACCCCGTTTATATTTGGATTTACTTTGGAAATAACGATTTGATTAAAAAAATCTTAAATTTTACTTGAGCGTATATTTCTTCTTCTTTATATGATAGAGATGTATCAACGGATCAACCAAATGAGTTTGAACAAATATCTTAAATTGATTGGCTGAGTTTCAACTAATTTGCTTCGCTTCCAAATTTCTCTTCTCTTTTCCCCATTTTGTCTTTCCCTAACATTTCCGGGGCTCTAATCAAACCCTGAGAGATTAGATGGAGTCGAATAGTATTAACATGCTACTACACTCACTACATCAGGACGCATATCAGATAGCACCGACCTTAGCTGCTCCGCCAAGATATCCTCTGGCACAATGTGCACACCCTAAACATGAAAAACAAAAAACTCTCCGAATTGAAGCAATTGAAGTGATAAAAAACTAAAAGCCACCCAAAATCGATTCAACTGGCGATCAGAAAATGGCATTGATACCTGAACTCCAACGGTGTTCTGAGCAGTAACAGCTGTGATCACAGTGGAGCAATAGACTCCTCTCGCTGCGCAGGCCTTGAGGTCCGCCTGAATTCCGGCACCTGCCCCGGAATCCGAGCCAGCTACGGTTAGTACGTGCGGGACTCTAATCTTAGAGCTAACGCTGGACATTGTTATTGAACTCCTAGATTGACGCAAGCATTGGGCGCAAGCTACAATACCAGACAACTGCATATAGTATCGATGCCAATTGCCAAAAATACAACCATTCAGGTGCGTACTGGTCTGAATATTGTGTATACAATAACTTCTTGTGATTGGGCAGATAATAATGAATTAACTGATCATGATATACAGGATACTTGCTCCAGGTTTTAGCCTTTAAAGTGTTCCGAATTCCGTATAACCATACGGTGATCAGTAGAAGTAATTTGGAGTACATACCTTTGATTTGAGAGAAGATGGAGCTGTAAAAGAGGCCTGAAAGCAGGTATCCATCATAGAATGAGTCACGGACTTCTGCAGCGGAATTGAAATTTGACTTTTCTTTTTTAAAAGGTTTCATTTTATTTGTGTAATTAGGATGTCAATTTTTAATTATGTTAAAATTTGAAGTTTGAAACATTGAAGAAAATTTCAATATAGTTTCTGAATATGTAAATTTTAATTATTAAAAATTAAATTAATTATCAATAGAGATGATTGAATTTTATTATTGGTTGATAAAAAATGTTGATTTTGCAAAACAATTTGGGACAGAGGAAGTGTTGGAAAAATGTGTTAAAATATTGCATTAAATAGTCATTTTGGGGCAATTATTTGAGTGGGGCCCACTTCCGATTTGGGTCGAGTCAAAGTGGTTTCGAATTGTCCTTGCTAAGGGCTACAATTCGATATATGATACACTCAAAACGGATAACGGTTGAATGAGAAATCGCTTTTCGAAGTTTACCCGTTGGAATGGATAAAACTAGGAAAAGGTGGGTTTTAGTGTGGGTTTTTCCCACACCGAAAATCACAAGCGAATTTGAACCCTTTATAAAGGGAAACCCTCCCTAAGGAGTTAAGCTTCCTAAAGGGAAATGCTCTCTCACACTCACAGGGGTGCGAATTAAATCCTGAAACCGAAGAACAAAAAGCGCGACTTGCAAGTGCGGGCAACTTGCACACACGAATGTCGTCCGAAAATCTATCTTCTAAATATAACGTTAATTTTTGTTCTTCCGGTACGTTCTTATTTTATTTTTACTCCATGTTGAACTGGAACGTTGTAGCATAAATGCCCAACGTCATTGTACCTTAATGCAGCGGGTTTGGACAGCTTGCTTGGAGAATCAATGCCAGCATGCTGCCATTGAAGTCCCAACGATCATATGAACGTTTTGGGTTGTTTATTGGCTGAATCAATGCCCAACGTTTAGGACATTGATGTCCAACATTCACAAGCCTTGAACAACCATTAACACACCATAATCCACCCCTATAAAAGGTCAGCAGGTGCTTTGCAAATAAGACACGTTCATACACTTCGTACACATATTTTCACAGCTAAAACCACCTCTATCATTCCATAAAAACTTTTCTGTGTTCTGATCTTTGTTCACGTTCGTTGGAACTTTAGTTTGAGTGCTAAACTATTGTTCGAAGTCATCGTATCCTGGGAAACGATCGTTGCAACGCTCCTAGCACTTCGGGAGGCAACGAATACGTTTTAAGGAAATCGTGCGTAGCATGAGCTTTGACTTATTCTGCTTCATCTCATTTCTAGTTTTTTTCTTAAAGTCAATTTAATTATAATTAATTAATTTTCTTTGTTTTCTGAAACACACCCAACAGGGAGTACTTTATTTCCATTCTAGCTAAGCAATTTTTTGTGTGTGTTGTGTGTCAAGTTGTCGAATTTGGCCCTGTGTTCCACCTAATTTTATTACTCTTGTACTAAACGATGATTTGATTAATAATAATTGATGTTCCTTTTGTCAAAAAATGGTTAGGATACATTTGAAAGTTTATTACATAGTACACCCCCTCAGGATACATTAAACGGGAGAGAGTGATGTGAATTTTAAGAAAAGTGAAATTATGTTGTTGATAAAGTAAGAATGAATTAGAGTCACAAATGTTACCAAATATGATACGAGACAATAATAGGGGGGCATCCAAAAATGAAAAAATGGGACAATTATAGGGGGGAATATATTTTTCTTTTTAGTATTTTTTTAAAATATGCAATCACCCTGATTTCTTGCTTTTTATCTCCTCTTTCATACATATTATAATGTGCCTAAATTTATTGTATTACATTTTTAAATATGAAAGGAATATATAAATATAATAAAAAGAGAAAAGTAAAATATAAAAAGGGAATAAATTTATTTTAATATATCATATTATAATGTCCCTAAATAGTAAGACTTTGTTATGAAATGGAGTAAAATCAACATAAGCTTAATCCTGCTTAGGAGGACTGATTATATTATGAATACTCTTAAAACAGTTGTTCACGGAGGTGTAATTACCATGAATGAGATTATTTATATTTATAGAAGATAATATAATCTCTTCTAAATTATAAGTTAATTGTGAGCCATGCAATTTTCATTTTCAGATCATAATGATGGTTTCTTATTCATATTGATAATAATGATAATATCTTGGGAAAATTCCCTCAATACGAGTACAAACATTTTGAAATTTCAGAATATAACCCTCGTGTTTTTATTTCCTAAATATAACTTCTGCCATGTTTGGCATTATCAAGCTTAAACTTGGCTGTTTTTCCCAAACTTGGTAAAAATTACTCCTGCTTAAGGAATAAAAATGAGGGTCATATTTTGAACTTTTGAAATGTTTTTACTCTTATTCAGGTCAACTTCTATAATATTTTTCTAATCCTGAATAGTCAAGAGATGACTAATCAACAAGACAACAATGATGATGATGATGATCATCATCATAATAATAAACAATGATTATAATAAATCAAACAAGAGTTGCATATATTTCTTATGTCAACGCATAGGTGGGTACACAGGAGCTTGCATGAACGAATTGCCCCTTTCAACCTCTATTTAAAAAATCGGGCCGAGAAGTGACACAGTCACATGACCGGATCACGGTTCAACCCAAATCTTCGAATCAACCCGATCAACACCATAAAAACAGTCAACCATGTAATGATAATTATAAACATGTAATTGTGTGCAATGTTAAAATAAAAGTTAGCCTTGTCTGCTGTGTTTCTATAGAAATCTCTAGATGGGTTTAGTCTAGGATTCTATCAACATTACTAGGACGTGATGGGACTAGATGTGGTCATGTTATGTAAAGAGGCATTTGACTCAGGTAAGCACCCACACGAGGTAACCCACACTAATATTGTGTTGATACTCAAGAAAGATAAGTCTGATGTTTTGGGGGATTGGAGGCTTATAGCTCTCTGTGATGTGATTTATAAGATTGTCTCAAAAGTCTTAGCTAGCAGAATGAAGATATGGGTCCACCTTTGTATTTATGAGCAGCATAACACTTTCATCCCAGACAGGCATATTGTAGATAACATCATGCTTGCTTTCAAGTCCCGACATTTTCTGAAAAGAAAGCGACAAGGAAAGACGGGTTTTGTCGTTGTCCATATACATATTGATAAACACAATAATTACTTATGTTTTACATAGGTAATTATATTTATTTGTACAAAAAATATAGAGCGAAAACAGCTAAATATTCCAAAGTGAGCACAAGTGTGGAATATGGCTAGGAGCGACAAATACGGGGTCAAAACTCAAAAGGGGTCGAAAACCGACACTTCTGGATCAATCGCGGACATTAAAATAAGAAGAAAAGGGAAGTAAATATTTTGACGCTGCAACCGACGTCGGTCAGATATTACTAAGGCCTATGACATAGTGAAGTGGTCTTTATAGAAGGTATGATGTGACATATGGGCTTTGATGAGAGATGGGTGCGGTTGATCGTGGAGTGTGTCACCTCCGTCTCTTACTCCATTCCGTTTGACAAATCTGAAATCAATTCGTTGCCACTTGGGAGGGGTTTACGTCAAGGCGACTCTCTCTCACCTTACTTGTTTTTTATTGTTGTAGAAGGACTTAGCGCGATGCTCCGACATTACGAGTCTATGGATCGGCTTCACAGAGTCATGGCTGCTTGAGGACCTCCAATGATTTCTCACTTTTTTTTGAAGTCTGTAGCTTACCTCTCTTCAGAGCAACACATGGTGAAGCAGCTATAATCAAGGAGACGCTATCTTATTAGAAGGATCTGCGGGTTTGGTCGATCTCCCGGGAGTTAGTCTGGCTGGGACTAATGAAAAATACTTGGGTTTGCCTGCTTTGGTCGGTAAAGCGAGGAAATAAATTTTGGATTATCTCATACAGATGATAGTTAATCAAATTCACAATTGAAATAACAAATTTCGTTCTAAAGCGGGACGGGGATTCTTTTGAAACATGTTATTCAGGCTATGTCAACCTACGCGATGAATGTATTCTTGTTGCCGAATGATTGTTGATGAATGGTTATTGATGGAGGGGTAAGTATGGTGCATGTATACATTAGAAGGATTGAGCTTCTTTGTATAACCCTAAAAAATCCAGAGGAATGGGGTTCAAAAGACTCCAATATTTCATTTTAGTCATGTTGGCTAAGCAAGCTTGGAGATTATATTTAGTGATCTAAATCTCTCGTGTGTGGGGTGTTTAGAGCTCGTTATTTTTTCGAATGCAGTTTTTTGTCTGCCAGACTTGGTAGTATTCCTTCATTTATCTGGAGGAGTCTACTTCAGACTCATGGTTCTATCCGGGAAGGCTATGAGTGGTGGGTTGAAGATGGAAAATCAATTAATATTTGGGATGAACCTTGATTATCGGACCAGGATTATCCAAAGTTATTCTCAGACGTAAGTGAGGGACTACAACAAGCCAAGGTGAAGAATTTATTGGATGAATCTAGCAAGGCGTGGGATGAGGATATCCTCAAGAACATTTTCGTGAGTCGTGATGTCAGTTTAATTAGGAGCATTCCTATTAACCTTTGGTCAGTTCCAGATGCGAAGTACTAGAGGTGGGAAACAAATGGTTTTTCTTTGTGGAGAGTTGCTATCGGAGAATTGTTGGGGACTTTACCTCACCTAAATGGTTGGGTTGGACCAACACGTGGTCTTGGAGGCTCCCTCTTAAAATTAAAATATTTTTTTGGCAGGTTTGCAGTGGATGCTTGGCATCGAAGGATAACTTGCTTTCTCGCCAAGTGGATTGTCCTGAGCATTGCAGCTTATTTGGGGAGGTTGGTGAAACTCTGCTCCACATTCTTTAGAACTGTGTTGTCACTAAGGAAGCCTGAGTTGTGGTTTCATGGAGCTGGAGAGGTCACATTGCTAGCCATTTTTTAGAGCAAGTGAAATTGGAGTTGCAGTCCAGAAGGAGAGAAGAGATGGAGAAATTAATCTAGGGGTGTTGGGATATTTGGTGTGAAAGAAATCACAGACTTCGGCAAAATTCTTTTGTGCTT